TCTTCGCGCTCTTCGCAAAGCATTTTGGGATCAAATCCATTGCTGACGGAAGCGAATGCCAACCGAATCGTCGACACGTTGTGTCGCGTGAGAGGAGCGGCCCTTAAATTGGGACAAATGCTGAGCATTCAAGACAGCACTTTGGTTAGCCCTGAACTGCAGGCCATCTTCGAGAGGGTGAGACAATCGGCAGACTTTATGCCCGTCCGGCAGATGAAGAAAGTGATGAGAGACGAGTTGGGAGACGAATGGCAGTCGAAGTTCAAGAGTTTCGATGAGAAGCCGTTTGCGGCCGCGTCTATAGGACAGGTGCACAGAGCGACACTTCCCTCAGGACTCGAAGTGGCCGTCAAAATACAATACCCCGGAGTGGCCGATGGCATTGAAAGTGATATCAAAAACCTGTTATCAGTGCTTAAGTTTGGAAACTTTCTACCGGAGGGTCTGTTTGTGGAGAATATAATGCGTTACGCCAGAAAAGAGTTGAGTTGGGAAGTGAACTATAATAGGGAAGCCTTGTGTCAACATAAATACAGACAACTGCTCGCCACTCACTCTAATACCGATGGCTTTTATGTGCCTAAAGTTATTGACGAGTTGTCCACCAAAAGAGTGTTCACTTCTGAGATGATTAGTGGAGTACCTGTCGATAGATTGGAGAAAATGGAGTCAATTCCTCAACAATTAAAGAATAGAATCGCAAAACAATTACTGAATTTGTGTTTAAGAGAAATATTTGAGTTTCAATTCATGCAAACGGATCCCAATTGGTCTAACTTTTACTATGACATCGATTCCGACGTCATCTCACTTCTCGACTTTGGCTCCAGTCGTGAGTACAGCAAAGAGTTTGTCAACAGTTATATGGATGTCATCAGAGCGGCGGCAGATCAGGACAGGGAGCGAGTGGTCGACACCTCCAAGAAGATTGGTTTCCTCACCGGATATGAGACACAGATCTTTGAGAGGACGCACACCAATGCTATCATGATTTTAGGCGAAGCTTTCGCTTCCGATGGTTTGTTTGATTTCGGAGACCAAAAGACCACTAAAAGAATTCACGAATTGATGCCAATTCTCATGAAATACCGGTTGACTCCACCGCCAGAAGAGATATATTCACTTCACCGCAAGATATCCGGAGTGTTTCTCCTCTGCACTAAACTTAAGGCCAAAATTGACTGCAAAGAGATGTTTGAAGAGATATATTCTCACTACGAGTACTGAGTTTTCAAAGTAAATCAAAGTTTTGAATAAAACCTTATTATAAGA